GGTCATTTAATGTGTTAGTCACATCACTTATTCCATAGCTTCAATATTGCACTGGTTGCATGTACATAGCTATCTGTGATAGTGCTTGAGATATTTCAAACAGAATGTAGAGGGCCCTCCCCCCTTTCCCATGATGCTTTGCATGGTACAATAAAACAAATGTGAAAAAACATTCTAAAATCATTTTCTAAAAAACGGCTCATCGCCTGGAGAAGCCGTTTGGAAAAATAAATACTATGGCACTTGATCTTTCAAAATATATGCAGGGTTAGTGAATTAGTCAAAAAATATGCAAATGAGATGCAAAACAAAATTTCTGAAAATTCTAGTAAAAAAAGTCACGTGACCGCTAAAGTTTTTTTTGATGATATTTTTAGCCCTTGTTCCACTGCTGCTACCATAAAAAACTGGGAGCACTCAGACCCTCAGAAAGGTGTGCAATTCGGCATTGAAAATTTCGTCTTTAATCCAAGATGGCGGCCGAATGACGTCACATATCGAAAATCGGAAACTTTGACGTTTTAGAGAATTGCCTATAGATTATCTCTGTAAAGTAACAGGTCAAGTGGGTAACCCGTCTTCGAGAAGAAGAGTTTTAAAAAACGGCAGAATAAGAATAATAATAATAATAATAATAATAATAATAATAATAATAATAATAATAAACTTTACAATTACAAAAGGCTTTCGATGCGGAAAAGCATCGAAAGCCTAATTACAAGCAAATAATACAAACCAATAAGTATTTCTCTTTCGTGCATACTGGATGCTAAGTTTTGTAGAGTTGAACAAAATAATTTTGAGACTAATAATTACATTTTCAGGACCCTCCTCCCACTCCTTTCAAAAGAGCAGATGTTCTAACCCTACCTGTGCGAAGAAGACAAGAGAAAATTGAAATCACATCAGAGGTATGTATTACCCTTTTTTACAAACTTGTTTAGATGTATTGTGATATGTAGTATGATACAGTGACAAAACATGTGTTGTATTTAGTTTTTTGATCACTTGTTCCGAAAAAAAATGAAATATTTATTTATTATTCATAAAATATGTCAATTAAAAATTCATTAATTTGCTACAAATTATTTTTGAAATAGTGGTAATCTTACTCAACACATGTTTTACATTCTGATAGTTTTAGTATCCCATGGTGATGATATAAACTCATTTTGGTTACACAATATAGAATATACAATTATCTGTATATTTGCAGCTGGCATCAACGCTAGAGCCGACTGAAATGAAATCTGGAGTTGTTTGTATCCACCATAACGGGGAGCACTACTGTAAAAGACAATAAATATGTATTACAGGTAGTGTATTACATTTATACTATACTATATATAGTATTTATTGAGTTGTGCTTCTAATGCTTAAATCTATGTGTAGAATTATAGAATACAACTTTTCACAGATACTTTATGATTTACCCGCTACAACCATTCAATATGATTTTTGGCACATATTTAATTAAAACATATTTAATCTGAATAATATTTTCTGGCATTCTGTATTTTTCCTGACCTTCGCCCTCATTTGTGAACTACTGTAAATTATTCACTGGTTGTTATTTTTTCCTAATTCATCGATAAGTAAAATCTGCAAAATTAAATCCACATGAGCATGTGAAATAACAAAAGAACAAAACAATAGAAGTTTGCAAACTTTAAAACTTGGTTTAATTACAACAAATTATCAAATTATCACTTATATATTTATTGCTGTAAACCAATAGAACATTTGTATTTCTAAGGATGCATTAAAGTTATTATTATTATTATTATTATAATAGTGAAATTTAATTCCACTGAAAATAAATGGTTATATACAGTAATTTGCAGTTGTATATTTTTTCACCTTTGTTTGTAGCCTTTACCAAAGGCACCAGTAGTTGTCGGTAAAAAGCGTAAGCGAGGTGAGGAGGAAATAATCAACAAACATCCAAAACATTATGTCTATGGCAATTTGGATATTGAAGATTTTGTAAGAAACTTGACAAAGGTGAGGAAGCTGCAAAAAAAGTATTATCATGTTTTCTTAAGTTGTGAGGTAACCAGGCTACCTATGCTAATGCTGATACGTCTCAAAGTTTAAACAATTAATGATGAGTATTCACCTACACATCCACTCAATAATACAAACAGCCGCTAGGACAGTCCAACCATCCATTTATTCACTCACTTGCATATTTGCCGACTCAAAACAACCAGACGAAGTAAAAACTGCCACGACTGAAATTCACATTACTACAGCAATAACGATGAAATAACATGACACACAAACACTGAAAATTCAACAAAAATGAGAAAAAAAATGTCAAATAACAAAAACAAGTTTATATTCCCTTTCTTATCTTGGTTAATTAAGATGTGCAGGTGCTTGTGTTCAGCCAGTTCTTGTTGACATTGAGATTGTGTATTACCTTGTCATACTATTATTATAATGGTCAGATTTTGATCCCTGGTACAAAAGTGTGTCGAAATCTGACATAATATAATGGAAACTAAGGAAATCCCAACATACATGTAGCTATATACTGTCGTTATTAAACCATCTCATATAATATCTATTTATTACATTTGTCAGCAAATCGGTGACCATGCAGCACAAAGAAGTCAAAAGTCAGCTAAGATAATTATTTTTACTATAGTTTCAACAAAAGCTTGATATTAATAACGGTTTGTTCTCTTTTTATAGCATGGAGTGACTGATATGAAGGTGGAAGACACTCCTGGAGGACATATTGTACATTTAGTAAGTGTTAATATATTACAATTGTTCCCTATTGATATCATAAACATGTAATTAACACACCACTGTTATTGCTGTATGTTGTGTTTCATACGAGTTCAAAGAAAATATACAACACATATATTAAAATTTATTGTTTGTTTACACAAAATTTGCACAGTGATCGTCGGAGTAATTTCTATTTTATAACTCAGTACTGACCCCCCACTATTTTACGAAATGATGTAAATTTGTCAGATGTTCATACATGTACATGACATGAATATTCTTGTTTCCTCACCATGTTTTAATCAAAAATAGTTGTATTTTACCTCCAGTCTATCATATTTTGCCAATGATTCTTACATAACTATGGCAACATTAAAATACAAGTTTTGAGTTCCGCCGTTACCTTAGGAACTTGCACGCTCTGGTAAAAAGATGTTCCAAGTTTGTATGTGTGGGGGATTGATTTTCTTGAGTAAATGTTCGATAGCCAGCTCACCAGAATGCCTGGAACCAGGGATACCAACCCCTCTATTTGTGTATGGAAACCAACTGATGGCGCTATCACTTGAAACTCTATTCTGTCAACATAATTGACAGTCTATCATTGATACCCTTCCACTTGTCCACATTGTCACAAACTTTACTCTGTCGTTAAACACATTGCCTGCCACCACAGACATACCAAGAGTCAGCAAAGCAGTGTATTAATTTATCTTTCATTTATTCGCAGCCATCAGAAGATACCATTATCCAAGTTGAAGAGGGGTCAACGCATATATTTTGTGAGGGAAATGAAACTCTTCGGAAAAAACTCAGAGATGTACTGATTATGTGTTTACCTAAATTTTAGGTGTAGAGGTGTAGATATACACACACTTTTGAACCAGTAAAAGATTTTGTATTTTTTTGAACTACTGAAACTTTCTTGCTACTTTCAGTTTATGTGATTCCCAGAAAAATAAAGTTTTAAACTGTGATTGTGTTATTCACACTCATCAATGTGAGAAAGAAGATACATTTCCGGGTTTTAATTCAGCAGTTATTATTTTAGGAAGTCTTTAAATTCAATCAAGTATCGAAGGATACATTTATAACATAAAATTAAGAACTTGCAATGCAGGAAATTAATTAAACAAGAGTTGTTTACATTAAAATAATTCTTAAATATTTGTCCGGACATTTATTCTCTCAATTTAACAACTTCTTGTTAAATTATTTTATATCATCTCAACTTGGAAAATTCTGTGAGTAAGAGATTACCAATAGGTGCATACCATTAAGGTCAGGATTGGATATGGTAGAATTTGCTACATTCAATTACCCACCATAGACTCCGGTCAGTCAAAATGACTATTTTGAACTGCAGGCATTAATCAGCGATTCTGCCGATGACGGAGAGATAGAATCTTGGTCAGGGGAAGCCCCATAACCCCAAGATTCTCTTTCTCTTACGTCACGAACCATGTGACCAAGGCCATATGGCAGCGCCATTAACGGCTGTACAATCACTCTTTTTTCATCTCCGCCTTGTCGGGAATGATTTTGAGCGGCTCTGCCTGGCTCAATTGCTTTTTGCTGTCCGGGTTTCTAGCGTTGGTTATTGCCGCAGCATCCGACATTCTAGCTGGTAGGATAAGTTTTTCTTGTCTTTTTTACCCTCGTGTCGTTTTCCCTTTTGTGTGTAATGTTTTTTTCACAACAAAGAAATTAAAACCTGGTGCCACTACGTAACCACTTGTTGGTTTCGCGGCGACACCTTTTACAACTGTATTTCGTTTCCCTCATGCATGTCGTCTTTTATTTACAATGTGTTTAGAAATGTATAGATGTAATGACGGCACCACTCGCTGCCGTTTTTTTTTTTTTTGGGTCTCCTAATGTTTTGAGTCGACTGTGCAGTGGCTATATTCAGAATTTACCAGCATAGAACCCGCATCCGAGATACTTTTGTCGTAGCTTTGTGCGGGTTCGGGGTTTTTGCTGTGAAGGCATTTTTCACTGGAGGCCTAAGGTCTGAGATTGCTCGTTTCTTCACAGCAAGGTCGCGTGTCCAGTAAACTAATCGGTTAAAGTGAGTTGTGTGTTTGGCATGAGTGGAAAGTTTTCACGCTCGGCTACCGGTGCTTTGTGTACCGGGACGTCGAGTAGGAGGCCTGTTGGCGGTGGTACCGATATTTTTTCTCGGCCTACCCCTGCTGATCGGAGGGCATCCTCACAGTCTCAGTGGTTTACCCGATTTTACCAGCTGCAGCAAGGCTGTGCCCCTGGAGGCTTTCCTCCTATGGGGCCATTGTGAGTCCCTTTGTGGACCCTTCCTTGCATGGCGTCGGGTTTCCCTCCGAATTGAGGGCTTTGGTCGAAGTATAGAAACTAGATAGGCAGGTTTTGATCTGGGACCAAGTGAAGGAAGCCCTGCCCTTGTGGGCGTCACTGGCCAACCTCTGACAGGGGGCCCCTTGGACCCGCTCGCCACAGGTATGACTCTGGTAAGTGATGCCTCCTCCCAAGGTTGGGGAGCGCATCTACTGAATCAACAAGTCCAAGGATATGGCCCGCAGTAGTTTTGGAACTACCATATCAACCGGCCCGAACTGAAAGCAATATACTTAGCACTACCACACTTTCTACCCGTAGTTCAAGACCACAGAGTCCTGCTTCGCACATGCAACACAGCGGTGGTCTCCTTCAAGAAGGAGGGGGGACATACATTCCTCATTGTTGTCAGTCCTAGCGGAGCAAATCCTCTTTTGGTGCCTGGAATACAATGTGGAGCTAACCGCACACCACCTTTCCAGGGGTGAGGAACAGTATGGCAGACTCTGCTTCCAGAACACGGGGTGGCTGATACAAGCCTCCAGGCTGTTTCGGCTGTAGGACAGTCCAAGGTTAGAACGCCAAGCTCCCGACGAACGTAACACTCCTGCCGACTTCAGGAACCTGGGCCAGGGTCACTTGGCTAACCCCGTGAACCCACTTAGTTGTGTACGCCTTCCTTCCCTTCCCACTAGTTCACCGGGCACCGGAGAAAATACCTGCATACCTGCATATTTTTATTGGTCACACCCATTTGGCCAAACAAGGCCTAGTTTCCACGTCTGTCGAAAATGCTAGTCGAAACACCAATAGTGCTTCCAGACTTACCGGACCTGTCTCAACCAGACGGCGCACTACCAATGAGCCCATCAGATATCACTTACACGCATACAGGCTCTCATTAGACCTGCACATACAAAGGCTTTATCCGAGCGGGCTGCCAACGTCCTGGCCAGGGTGAACAGGGATTCCACCAATGCAGCCTGCATTTCTAAGCTGCGTGCATGCACTGATTGGTGTAGCAGAAGGGAGATTGATCCATACCATCCCTCTATTGGCCAGGTAGTAGGCTCCTTCGTCCACCTGTTTGACAAAGTAGGTTTTTCCTACGCAGCGATCGTTGGCTACGGGTCGGCCTTGTCCCCCACCATTGAAAACGTATGGGAACAAGACTAGCCAATTGTCCTATTATTAGGAGACTATTTACTACTTTCCAGACGGGAAGGGAACCGCCCAACTCGAACTTGTTGGCTGTGTTGTCCGTTCTAAGCAGACTGCCTTTGAGCCTCTCTGATCAGTATCACTCAATTTTTTTAACATGGAAAATAGTCTTCCTACTGGCCCTCGCCTCAGGTAGGCGTTGACCAGAGCTGGGGGCATTGTCCTTCTCGGATGATGTACCGCCGTTATGGACAATCAAGTTGTGCAAAAGACATGAACTGGGTTTCTTGCCTAGAACCAAATTCCAGGACACGATCCTCACCCCATCGTCATCCCCCAGCTGTCAAATTTTTGTCTGCCCGGAGGGTCAGGAGGAATTGCTTTTCTGCCCGGTTCTAGCACGGAGTTGCTCCCAAACCGTACTAAAGATTCAGGACTTGGTGCCATGCACATATCTTTATGTTTCGGCCCAGGCAGGCAGGATAGGCCGGCCTCCCCAACTTCCATAACCAGGTGGTTTACTGCGACTGTATTAGAGGTCTATAATACTTTAACTTCCTCGACACAGAGCTTGCAGATACACCAAGTACGAGCGCATGAGGTCTGTGCGATTGCCAACTCACTAGTGCTAGCGTCAGGTGCCCCCCTCGAGCATACATGGAGGGCAGGCTACTGGAGAACGCAGAACGTCTTTATCAACTACCACCTAACAGACACCGAATCCATTGAGGAAGGTCTCTTTAGGTTGGGTCCCGTCGTAGTGGGTCAGTCTTGGTTTGCTGACCCAGCCCGAACGACCACAAGGGTTCCTGCGCATAGGCAATAAGTCAGTCTCGGCATTTTATGCAGTCAGATTTCTCTACCGTCATCACTCCCCTGGAAGCTCCCAGGCCCGCTTTGCGGCCTATGCCCTCATGCAGAACTGTTTTGGTCTTTACTTCGAAAGCTTACTACCCCCCATAATTGGCTTGGGGTCTAGCTTTCCTGGGCACACCAAACCCTGTCACCGTAGCAACATTTTGGCTTCTTGCTCCAGGGACAGCCCAGGCAAGGTAAGACACCACCCTTTTTTGGGCCTTAACTAGGGTTTGACTGATTATTGTATTTCATCCCGGACTGGGAAACGACTTTCATCATTTTTCTGTTTGCTCGGAAAACCCACCACCTATCGGCGCCTGACTCTGCCTACAGTTCAAAATAGTCATTTTGACTGGCCGAAGTCTATGGTGGGTAATTGAACGTAGTGAATTTTGGCAGAAGGTTCTACGAACCCGCCTATTCACATAGTTCATACCCACCATAGACTCTGGGTCCCCCAAACCACCCCTCTCTTTCCGTAGCGTTGGTCTAAGTCCTCGAGGCGGAGAGAAAGGAACCGGAGTGATTGTACAGCCGTTAATGGCGCTGCCATATGGCCTCTGTCACGTGGTTTGTGACGTAAGGGAAAGAGAATCTTTGGGTCATTGGGCTTCCCCTGACCTAGATTCTATCTCTCCGTCACCGGCAGAATCGCTGATTAATGCCTACAGTTCAAAATAGTCATTTTGACTGACCAGAGTATATAGTGGGTATGAACTATGTGAATAGGCAGGTTCGGAGAATCCTCTGTCTAAGTTTACACAAGCAGCTAACACCAAATTTGCATTAATCTCCACCCTGAGATGTACACAAATATGTCTTGTCATTTGGGTTAGGGTCGGTACAGGTAGGGTTTATAGATATGTGTCTTGGTCTTAGGATTGGGGTTGAGATAGGTATAATTTACTATGTTCAGTTACCGACCATAGACTCTCAGTCAAAATGACTATTTTGAATTGTAGGCATTAATCTGCTATTCAGCCAATGACTGAGAGACTAATCTAGGTTAGAGGAAGCCCCATGACCTCATAGATTTTCTTCCACGTCGCATAACACATGACTGAGGTCAAAAGGTCAGCGACCAGCATGCCTAATGTTCACTCTGTTTTTCTCCGCATTGAGGTGCAACGTAGTGAAAACAGTGCGATTCAGTCTCCAGTTTTTTCGACCTAGTTTTTCTGAAGTTTCTGTAACTGTTGGTAACAGTAGACGTAGTGGCTGGTAGAATAAATGTTCTTTATTAGCAGCCCCGTGACTTTTTTGTGCACTGCTTACAAAAACAAAACAAAAAAACATGGGCCACATTGTCAGGTTTCATTGTGTTATTGCTGGGAAAGGATTGACCAGCTTTGTTATTAGTCCAAGAAAATTGTTCAGCTTGGAATGTGTCTGAACCCCTCATTAGTATGCAAGAATGTACCAAGAAAATTGTTTTTCTGGAGTAAATTGTAGTGTATTTTACTTACGAAAGGTCAAAAAGTACATGGAGATTTTATGAAAATGTGTGGATGATGTCGTGTGGTCACAGTTGCGCAATAAATGATGGACTATTTTAGGCGTAGCAATAAAATGTGTCACCGAAGTACTCACACATGTGCATCATTCCAATAGTTTGTGCTGTGAAAAAGTTCAATAGAAAATAAGTATTGTGTAATTTGTAGTGAGAATGTATTCAAATAGATTAATGTTTATGAAACTTGTTTCTTTTCAAAGTGTATTTATAATACAAATTGTTCATAAAAATGTTTTTTATACTTTTTCGATGGATTGAATTTACAAATGATGAGTAATTATGCTATTCCATCACTCGAATTATGTATTACGAAT